ATATGACACCTGTGACCTTGAATGTCGAACAAGGACATTATAATATTAGGTTGAACAGAGTTTATAGTCTTCCAACCCAGCATGCTTCTGGAAAAATATCATTACCCTGGACCTTTTGGTTATACAGAACAAATCATTTAAAGATTTAAACATATATTGACCACTGTGACCTTGAATATGGGCGAAGGTCATTCACTTGGTAGTCCTTCATCCCAGCATGTTAATGGCCAAATATCATCACCCTTGGCCTTTTGCTTATTAAGAAGTCATTCAATGGTTTTAAACATATTTGACCCCTGTGACCTTAAAATATATTTGTCAAGGTCATTCATTTGAACTTGGTAGTCCTTCTTCTCAGCATGTTACTGGCATTATCCTAGGCCTCTTGGTTATTCAGAAGAAGTTGTTTAAAGGTTAAGAACACATTTAACCCTGTGACCTTGAAAAAAGATGAAGGTCATTCATTTGAACAAACTTTATAGCCCTTCATCCCAGCATGCTACTAGCCAAATATCATAACCCTAGGCCTATTGGTTATTCAGAAGAAGTTGTTTAAATGTTTAAAACATATTTGCCCTCTGTGACCTTGAATATAAGTCAAGGTCATGTATTTGAACAAACTTGGAAGCCCTTCATCCAAGCATGTTACTGGCCAAATATCATCATCCTAGGCCTCTTGGTTATTCAGAAGAAGTTGTTTAAAGATTTTAACATATTTGACCCCTGTGACCTTGAAAATTGATGAAGGTCATTTATTTGAAAAACTTGGTAGCCCTTCATCCAAGCATGCTTCTGGCCAAATATCATCACCCTAGGCCTTTTGGTTACTGAGAAGAAGTTGTTTCAAGTAAAAAGTTGACGCCGGACAGACGCCGGACTGACGACGGATGACGGACGCCGCACCATGCCATAAGCTCACATGGCCCTTCGGGCAAGGTGAGCTAACAATAAAGGATGGTGGGGAACCTGCATTGGCTGGCTCAAAATATTGTTTTGGGGCGAGTAAAAAATTTGAACCACTGGCCCAAATGACATTGGTGGCCCAAATAATTTTGGGAAGAAATATTTCCACAGCATTTAACACAATGCTTCAGCACATTAATTACATATAACATGACAATGTTCGTAATATGTAAAACAGAATAAAACATTATATTTTTAATTCTTCAACCCTGTTTCCCAAAGAAATACACAAAACTGGCACCTCATAAAAGACACCCTGGCTGTATTTTATATAGAAAATCTGAAAAAAAAATCATCAAATCGAAGTAATGACAACTGAAAAATGTACTGCCTCCCAGTTAATGTGGAAGGAACTTTAATTTCTTTTATTCATAAATTTATCAACAGTCACCCAAACTATTTTTGTTGTGACTACCTCACTTTTGACAACTTTTGGTCGTCCAAGCAAGACTTTAATCGTCCACTTCAGGCACTGCTGCACAACAAGGGAACAAGGGGAACCTACATATAAAATTTGAGAAAGATCCCTCCCGTTCTTCTTGAGAAATAGTGATAACAAACTTTCACTATCAAAATCCAAGATGGCTGCCTTTCGGCCATGTTGTTTATCCGATCAGTCTCAAAAGTTGCCCTGCACAGCTAAGGACCAAGGGGAACCTACATATAGAATGTGAGAAAGATCCATCTGGTGCATCTTGAGAAATACCGATAAAAAAATTGTTTAAGGACAGACGGCGGACAACGGCGACGGACGACAGACTGACCACGTACCATGGACGCAGGGTGATTTGAATAGCCTTCCATCAGATGATGGTGGGCTTATAAAATGGCAATATTTTTCGAATGCCGCCTTTTAACGGGTATTACATAAACAAGAGGCCCAATGGGCCTGCATCGCTCACCTGGTATTAATCTCACAACTGTAATCTTAAAGGTGGACTAAAATACAGCTACAGGCAAAATATCAGTATTACATTCATAAGAACCTATTAAAAGACTTAAACATGAAGCCTGTGTCCTTGAATGTCGAACAAGGACATTAGGTTGAAAGTGGGTCAAGGTCATTCATTTGAACAAACTTGGTAGCCCTTCATCCTAGCATGTTACTGGCCAAATATCATTACCCTAGGCCTCTTAGTTATTGAGAAGAAGTTGTTTAAACATTTTTTAAGACAATTGACCCCTGTGACCTTGAACATAGATGAAGGTCATTCATTTGAACAAACTTGGTAGCCCTTTATCACAGCATGCTACTGGCCAAATAGCATCATCCTATAGGGTTTTCGGTTATTGAGAATAAGTTGTTTAAAGTTTTTAACACATTTGACCCCTGTAACCTTGAATATATATAAAAGTGATTCATTTGAACAAACTTGGTAGCCCTTCATCCTAGCATGTTACTGGCCAAATATCATTACCCTAGGCCTCTTAGTTATTGAGAAGAAGTTGTTTAAACATTTTTTAAGACAATTGACCCCTGTGACCTTGAACATAGATGAAGGTCATTCATTTGAACAAACTTGGTAGCCCTTCATCCCAGGATGCTACTGGCCAAATATCATCATCCTGCGACTTTTGGTTAATCAGAAGAAGTTGTTTAAAGTTTTGAACATATTTGACCCCTATGACCTTGAAAATAGGTGAAGGTCATTTGACCAGTTTGCTTCTGGCCAAATATCATCATCATAGGCCTTTTGGTTATTGAGAAGAAGTTGTTAAAAGTAAAATATTGACGCCGGA